AGAGACAGTGAGAGGAAAAGTGAGAATTCACCCCCCAGGGAAGATGGCCAGGCTGCAATCCCTGATTCTCCATTCCCCTCCCAGAATCTTGGACATCCATGCACATTCTTATTTACCCAGTGTGATTTTCAAGCCACTGGTCTCTCTCTCCTTTTAGATCTAGCAGTCTTTCCTTCATATATTTGGGTACCCTGAATTGGGTTCATAGATAGGTATAAGCATTATATCTTCTTAATTAATTAGCCTTTTTACTACTACGTAATGCCCTTCTTTGTCTCTTCTTATGGTTTTTGTCCTAAAGCCTATTTTGTCTAAAATCAATATCATAACTCCAGCCATTCTGGTTTCCTTTTGTATGGAATACCTTTTTCCAGTCCTTCCTTTTTAGTCTATGTATCATGAGGATACATAGAGGTGTCTATCCATGAGGTAAACCTCTGTGTACCATGAGGTGTACCTTTATCCATGAGGTGCGTTTCCTAAAGGCAAGAGATGGAGGTTTCTATATTTTTTAGTCAACTCAGACAGTCTTGTCTGTTTGTTAGATAATTTAATCTATTAATATTCAATGTTATCAGTAGTTCTGGACTTGTCTCTGCCATTATGTTAACCATTTTCTTGATTTCTTTTCTGTCTCTCTTTAGTTTCCCAGGTATAGTACTCCCTTCAGTACTTCTTGAAGAGCTGGTCTGGTATTGGTAAATTCTTTCAGATTTTGTTTCTCTGAGAATGTTTTATCTTTTCTTCTCATTAGAATGATAATCTTGCTGGGTATAGTAATGTTGATTGAAATTTTTATTTTAACACTTTGAATATATCCTCTCATTCTTTACTTGCATTGTTTCCACTGAGAGGTCCAATGTTACCCTAATGGGATAACCTTTGTAAATAACTTGACTTTTCTCTCTTGCCATTTTTAGGATCTTGTCTTTATCTGTGGTTTTTGCCAATCTAGCTATGATGTCACTCATTACATACCGAATGCCTACACTCTATGGCAGAAACTGAAGAACTGGAAAGCTTAAAGTCAGGGAGAACAACTGTGGATACTAGAGACAGTGTGGAAGAACACTGGGAAATGGGGGAGGGTGAGAGGTAGGCAATCAAGGGAGAAAAGAATCAAAAGTTTTAAGGGACAGAGAAATGGAAAATTATCTGTTGATTTTAATAGGCATGGTAATGTCTTTGACAAAACCAATATACAGTGTACTCAGAATGGGAACATTCATTTGGTATATTGTAATGATACACAGTGATTGACTGTAAAACATAAATTAATTTTTTTTTAAATTTACCGAGAAACAAGATCTTTGGAGTGAACTAAAACCAAAGCACATTCCAAGAAAGTTCATAGTGAGGGAGGTGGAATCCATCTTGCAGAGGTCTGAGATGAGGATTGGAAATGAAGCATTACCTAGAACAGTCTTAATCCAGACATGTTTGACTAAAATGAGCTCAAAGAGCACAGGTATGCACACAAAGCATCCTCGGTGACAGCACACCTCAGAATTAATAAAATAGCATATTAAATTCCCCACAGGAGAGGAGCTGGGGCAGAGATGACTTTAGAGAGTCTGCCAGTGGGAGGGTCCTATGAGGTCATGGGGGCTCCTAGGTGAAAACATTACAGGCTCATTAACTCCTGGACAACCAGCTGCACACAGGTACTTGAGGTTGCAGGAGGGTTTCACAGGCCCTGCCTTCTGTCCCAACTCCCAGCCCTTGACCAATCATCTCCTGTGAGACCTAGTCCCTGTTTTGTCCATGACTGACAGCTGAGCAACTGGGGGCAAGACTGGAAGTTGGTTGGCTGTGTGGCCAGGATGGACCCTCACCAGTACTTGCTCAATTCACAGAGACTTGAAGGATATCACGAACTCTGAAGTTGGGGTAACAGGGCAACAAAAATAGGGTGGCCACATGGGTCTGGACCATCCTTCACACTCCTAGTGCCAGGTCTTATTAGTGTTGTCATCTAGAGTTTCCTTAGAAAGTTCCGCTTCCTTCAGAGGATCTACTGTCATTAGGATTGGGACCAGGCTCTGGAGCTGAGCCCTCCTGAGACACCCAGGATGCACCAAGTGCATTGTGGGTTCTTCCAGCATTTCCCTCTGGCCTCTTTCAGGGAAGCAGAGAGAAGCTCCCTAGAGGAAAATGCCAGGCCAAGGTTCAAAGTCAGAAAATTAGTTATGGGTCAAGAGGTCAGAGAAGCCCAGAGCAGGTAAACATCAAAAGGTATTTAAGGAAATCAGAGAACAAGGAATACTCAGGGGAGGCCTCTCAACCTGCAAAGTTCACCTGAGACGGAGATGAGGAAGAGGTTGTTGGGGATGTCAGAGTCTGTCAGCTCCCAGGAGCAGTGCCAAGGAGCCACCAAAATATGCAGGAGAGCCCTCGGTCTGTCACCTGGGCTGCTGGAGTACTTGTCCCAGTCTTACATATTTTCTGTTCTCCTTCCACTGAGTCACACACCGCAAGTGTGGAGGACAGTGTCCTGAGAGCATTTCCAACACAATAATCTTTATTCTATGTACATAGGAGACCCAATCTGAAAATCCTGCTCTCCCAACCCCCCACTGCACCCCAAACTCACCCAAACTCACCAAAATATGCCCACCCTCTCCCATTCTCCCAAATCTAAGGAACAACTGAATCATCAGGATGGGGGGGGGGAGCCCTTAGTCCCTTTGATGTGTAGGCTGCAGACAGCACAACACCTAATCAAGGTTGACCCCAAAGCCTGGCCTGCTGAAGTCTTTGATCCCCAATTGGCAACAATGCTGCTGCTTCCTCTGCCCTGAGGACAGTGCATTCTACTTTCTCCTCCAAGGCTGTGAAGATCCAGCCAATCCCATAACCAGAATATGCTCCCCAGAGAACTCAAATTTAGGACTTTGTTTCAGTTTCTTATTAGTAGGGATGGAATCTCCAATAAGATCTCACTTCTTTGACTTGAAAGGGAGATAGGCAGCTGAGCTCAGGCTTCTTCTCAGTGCAGATTGAGCTTTGGTTATTCCCCAGGGCCTGTGAACTCCAAGGCAGAGATGGCCCGAGATAGGGGCAGGGATCAGGTGTGGCACTAGGGGCAGCAGGCTGTGCTGGGAGGCCATGAAGAAGGCCAGGCTGGAAGCTGTTTTTGATCTTCACTGGACCCATTTGCTTGCCAGTGCGTCCCCCTGACAGGCCAGGCGCCTATACCACCTGAGGCACTCCTGGTCCCCAGGCAAGGGCAAGAGGGTCTGTATCCCTGGGGAGGAGAGGCTGGCCAAGCAGTGCTTAGTGGGTGTGGCTCTGCATGCCCCAGGAAGATAGCAATGTCCTTAGGCCAGATAAGGTTGGCATCTCCCCTGTGATGTCTTTCAGGGTCCTGAGAAGACTTCTATGGCAGGTGGGTTTCCACATACACAAACATAGCACCCAAAGTAGAATGTTAGTTCTTACAGGCTGCTGGACAACTTTAGGGGCCAGAGACCCTGGAAGGTCAGGCTTTGGTAAGGCTGCAGAAGGCAGGCACTAGGAGCCCTGTAGCCACTGTCGCTCCGGAATCTGCATCTCCTCATCCTCAAACTCCATGAACCTGTGGGGAGGAAGGCCCCAGTCCTGCTGAGAAGACCAGCTCCAGCCCACAGCACCAGGCAGCAGGGAGGGGAAGACGTGCCTAGGGTGGGCTGTGCAGATCCTAACAGGGCCAGGCCAGAAGGGAACATTCCCAGGGCTACACCACAGTTCTGGGACAGACTTTTTCCCTGGAATGCAGGGCACAGAGCAAGGCCACAACTTTCTAAGCCAAGTCACCCTGTGCCCTTGGAAAAGTTTTCAGGTTATCTCCTGTCCCTGCCCAGAGCCACAGGAGGTGCATTAGTTTTATGTGGGCAAACCAAGGACCTATGACCAGATCTAGGACTGAGGCTGGACTGTGAGCCCTGCAGAGTGGAAGCAGGATGCCAGGCTGATGAGATGCCTTGTTTTCTCCAAGATTGTGTCATGTTTGGTGTTTGAATAGAGATGACTGCCATAGAGCAAGGATAGGAAGGCAGGGACAGACTCAGTGTCTGAGGTGCTGGCTTCCCTAGACCAACCTCTTCTAACCTAACCTATCTGGGATGGCAGATGACAAATTTTTGGTCACTTTTCTTGAGCAGGGGCCATCCCATCCTCTCAGAGTCACCAGCTCCAAGGAACCAGTCTGGCTGGATGAGTTGACCACTTTCCTGGAGGAGGTGAACCCATTGAGGTGCCCTGGCTCCTGCAGCCCCTGCCCACTGTCTTTTTCTAGGTAGGGGTAGACCAAGATCAGGGAGTGAGTGGGGCCCATGGAGACACTGGAACAGAAAGACCACAGTCTTGATGTAGGAGGGGTAGGGGCTGAGAGACCCAGAGCCTATGCTGGTCCACAACCACCCTCATGGGCTTGGCTGACAAGGCCCTCACGCACACCCCCATGTTACCCACCCTCACGTATCATACAGCCCCATTGCCTAGGACCCCTGACTCACTTGGCCACCATTTCATAGTATTTTAGGTGGTCAAAGTTGCTTGTGCACTGCCATTCCTGCATGGCCTGGGACAGGCCCTCCTTCAGCAACATGGTGGCCATCAGCTGGGACAGGGACCAGAGCACTGGACCATAAGTGCCTAGGATTAGAACATTCTGAAGTCCCACCCCATCCCCAGTTAACCAGGCCCTATACACCTCCCCTTCCTTGGGCCTTATCATATCTGTTTCTATCTTAGCCTTCCCTTTGTGGGCTCCTTGGACCCCAGCATCCACTCCAAAAATCACTCATCAACACCAATCACTTCAGGTAGCCTCTGAGGTCCATGAGTCCCCAGTGTCTGTGTCTGTGCTGAATGCCAAGTCCCCCAAATTCCTGTGCTAAAGAGTTATAACCCAATGTGACAATCCTAAGGAAGGTCCACTGGGAGTTGATGGGATTTAATTCTATACTTAATAGTGAAGTTCCCTCATTTTCTATCGACCCCTGGTCCAGGAACTCTGAGGGAGGACTGCCCCCCACCATAGCTCCAGTCCCAAGACCCCCAAGACAGAGACCCCTTTGTCAGCCAGGTACACATTTTTTTCTCCTTCTCCTCTTCTTTTACTTATAAATTTTTCTCTTTTCATTACCACAAAGGAATGCCCTTAGCCCTACAGACACCCCACACCCATCTTTTGACCCCTGGGCAAGGAACACCGAGAAAGGACTGTCCCCCGTAGCTCCAGTCCCGGGACCCCCAAGCCAGAGACCACTCTGTCAGCAAGGACCACCCTTAGCCCTACAGACACCCCACAGCCATCTTTCAACCCCTGGGCCAGGAACTCCGAGGGAGGACTGCTCACTGTAGCTCCAGTCCGAAGACCCCCAAGACAGAGACCCCTTTGTCAGCCAGGTACACTTTTTTTTCTCCTTCTCCTCTTCTTTAATTTGTAAATTTCACTCTTCTAATTAACACCTAAGAACGTCCTTAGCCCTACAAACACCCCACTCCCATCTTTCAACCCCTAGGTCAGGAACTTTGAGGGAGGATTGCCCCCCATAGCTCCAGTACTGGAACTCCCAAGCCAGAGACCCCTCTGTCAGCCAGGTACACTTTTTTCTCCTTCTCCTCTTCTTTCATTTGTGAATTTCCCTCTTCTCATTACCACATAAAAATGCCCTTACCCTACAAACACCCCACTCCCATCTTTCTACCCCTGGGCTAGGAACTCTGAGGGAGGACTGCCCCCCATAGCTCCAGCCCCGGGACCCCCAAGCCAAAGAACCCTCTGTTAGCCAGGTACACTTTTTTTTTCTTCCTCCTTTCATTTGTAAATTTCTCAATTCTCATTACCACATAAAAACTCCCTCAACCCTAAAGACACCCCACTCCCATCTTTCAACTACTGGAACAGGAACTCCAAGGGAGGACTACCCCTGTAGCTTCAGTCCCGGGACTCCCAAGCCAGAGACACCTCTGTAAGCCAGGTCCCTTTTTTTTTTTTTTTCCATCTCCTCTTCTTTCATTTGTATATTTCACTCTTCTCATTAGTACATAGGAATGCCTTTATCCCTACAGACACAAAACACCCACCTTTTGACCCATGGGCCAGGAACTCCAAGGGAGGACTGACCCCCTAACTTTAGTCCCAGGACCCCCCCAAACCAGAAACCCCTCTGTCAGCCAGGTACACTTTTTTTTTTTATTCTCCTTCTCCTCTTCTTTCATTTGTAAATTTCTCTCTTCTCATTACCACATAGGAACACCCATAGCCCTACAGACACCCCACTCCCATCTTTCCACACCTGGGTAAGGAACTTTTAGGGAGTACTGCCCCCCATAGCTCAAGTCCCGGGACTCCCAAACCAGAGACCCCTCTGTGAGACATGTACACTTTTTTTTTCTCCTCATCTTCTTTCATCTGTAATTTTTCTATTCTCATTACAACATAGGAACCCCCTAAGCCCTAGAGTCACCACATTCCCATATTTTGATGCCTAGGCCAAGAACTCTGAAGGAGGACTGCCCCCCATAGTTCCAGTCCCAGGACCCCCAAGCTACAGACCCCTCTGACAGGCAGGTAAAATTTATTTTTCTCCTTCTCCTTTCATTTGTAAATTTCTCTATTCTCATTATCACATAGGAACGCCCTTAGCCCTACAGACACCCCACTGCCATCTTGCAACTTCTGGGCCAGGAACTCGGAGGGATGACTGTCCCCAGTACCTTCAGTCCTAGGACCCTAAAGCCAGAGACTCCTCTGTCAGCCAGATACACTTTTCTTTTTTTCTCCTCCTCTTCTTACATTTGTAAATTTCTCTCTTCTCATTACCACGTAGTAACACCCTCAGCCCTACAGACATCCCACTCCCATCTTTCGACCCCTGAGCCAGGGACTCCGAGGGAGGACTACCCCCCTTAGCTCCAGTCCCAGGACCCCCAAGCCAGAGACCCCTTTGTCAGCCAGGTACACTTTTTTTCATTTTCTGTCTCCTCTTTTTTTATTTGTAAACTTCTCTCTTCTCATTACCACATAGGGACGCCCTTAGCCCTACTGACACCCAGCTCCCATCTTTCGACTTCTGGGCCAGGAACTCCGAGGGAGGACTGCCCCCCCCCCCCCCCCCCCCGTAGCTCCAGTCCTGGGGCCCCCAAGCCAAAGACCCCTTTGTCAGTCAGGTACACTTATTTTTTCTCATTCTCCTTTTCTTTCATTTGTAAATTTCTCTCTTCTCGTTAACACATAGGAATGCCCTTAGCCCTACAAACACCCCATTCCCATCTTTCGACTCCTAGGTCATCAACTTTGAGGGAAGACTGAACCCCATAGCTCCAGTACCAGTACTCCCAAGCCAGAGAACCCTCTGTTAGCCAGGTACAGTTTTTTTTTCTTCTTTCTTCTTTTTTCATTGGTAAATTTCTCAATTCTCATTACCACATCGGAACACCCTTAATCCTAAAGACACCCCACTCCCATCTTTCAACCACTGGAACAGGAACTCTGAAGGAGGACTGCCCCTGTGGCTTCAGTCCCGGGACCCCCAAGCCAGAAGCCCCCCTGTCTGCCAGGTACACTTTTTTTTTCTCCTTCTCCTCTTCTTTTATTTGTAAATTTCTCTCTTCACATTACCACATAAGAAGGCATTTAGCCCTACAGACATGCCACTTTCATATTTCAACCCCTGAGCCAGGATCTCCGAGAGTGGGCTGCCCCTCCGTAGCTCCATTCCTGGGACTCCCAAGCGAGAGACCCCTCTGTCAGTCAGGTACACTTTTTTTTTCCTTTTTCTCCTCTTTTTTCAATTGTAAATTTCTCTCTTCTCATTACCACATAGGAACGCCCTTAGCCCTATGGACACCCCACTCCCACCACTGGACCCCTGGACCAGGAACTCCGAGGGAGCTTTGCTCCCCGGTAGCTCCAGTTCCAGGACTGCCAAGCCAGAAACACCTCTGTCAGCCAGGTACACTTTTTTTTTTTCTCCTTCTCCTCTTGTTACATTTGTAAATTTCTCTCTTCTCATTATCAGATAGGAATGCCCTTAGCCCTGCAGACACCCAACTCCCATCTTTTGACCCCTAGGCCAGGACCCCTGAGGGAATATTGTACCCTCCCCCTCCCCGTAGCTCCAGTCCCAGGACCCCCAAGCCAGAGACCCCTCTGTCAGCCAGGTACACTTTTCTCTCCTTCTCCTCTTCTTTCATTTATGAATTTCCCTCTTCTCATTACCACATAAAAATGCCCTTACCCTACAAGCACCCCACTCCCATCTTTCGACTTGTGGGCCAGGAACTCCGAGGGATGGCTGCCCCAAGGAACCCCAAGCCAGAGACTCCTCTGTCAGCCAGGTACAATTTTCGTTTTTCTCCTATTCTTTCATTTGCAAATTTCTCCATTCTCATTACCACATAGGAACACACTTAGCCCTACAGACAACCCACTCGCATCTTTCAACCCCTGGGTCAGGAACTCCCAGGGAGGACTGCCTCACACCTCCAGTCCCAGGGCCCCCAAGCCAGAGACCCCTCTGTCATCCAGATACACTTTTTTTTCTCCTTCTCATTATCTTTCATTTGTAAATTTCTCTCTTCTGATTACTACAGAGGAACGCCCTTAGCCCTACAGACATCCAACTCCCATTTTTCGACCACTTGGCCAGGAACTCCGATGGAGTACTGCCACCCCTAGCTCCAGTCCTGGGACCCACAAGCCAGAGACCCCTGTGTCAGCCAGGTATACTTTTTTTTCCCCATCTTCTCTTTTATCATATGTAAATTTCTCTCTTCTCTTTACCACATAGGAACGTCCTTAGTCCTACAGACACACCACTCCCTTCTTTTGATTTCTGGGCCAAGAACTCTGAGGGAGGACTGGTCCCCATAGCTTCAGCCCCGAGACCTCCAACCAAGAGACCCCTCTATCAGCCAGGTACACTTTTTTTTTAACTTTTTCCTGTTTTGTTTGTTTGTTTGTTTGTAAATTTCTCCCTTCTCATTACCACATAGTAATGCCCTTAGCCCTATACACACGCCACTGCCATCACTGGACCCCTGGGCCAGGAACTACAAGGGAGTACTGCCCCCCGTAACTCCAGTCCCAAGACCCCCTAGCTAAAGACCCCTCAGACAGCTAGGTACACTTTTTTTTCTCCTTCTCCTCTTCTGTCACATCTAAATTTCTCTCTTCTCATTACCACATAGGAACACCCTTTGCCCTATAGATACCCCACTCCCATCTTTTGACTTCTGGGCCAGGAACTCCGAGGAATGACTAGCCCCCATTGCTACAGTCTGGGGACCTCCAAGCCAGAGACTCCTCTGTCAGTCAGGTTCACTTTTCTTTTGTTCTCCTTCTACTCTTTTTTAATTTGTAAGTTTCTCCCTTCTAATTATCACATAGGAACGCCCTTAGCCTACAGAAACACCACTCCCCTCTTTTGACCTATGGGCCAGGAACTTTGAGGGAAGACTGCCTCCCATTGCTCCAGTCCGGAGACTCCCAAGCCAGAGACCCCCCCCCCTGTCAGCCAGGTACATTTTTTCTCCTTCTCCTATTCTTTCATTGGTAAATTTCTCTCTTCTCATTACCAAATAGGAACTCCCTTAGCCCTACAGACACCCCACTCCCATCTTTCGACTTGTGGGCCAGGAACTCTGAGGGATGATTGTCCCTGGTACCTCAAGTCTCAGGACCCCCAAGCCAGAGACTCTTCTGTCAGCCAGGTTCAATTTTCGTTTTTCTCCTTCTATTCTTCTTAAATTTGTAAATTTCTCCATTCTCATTACCACATAATTACGCCCTTAGCCCTACAGACTCCCTACTCCCATCTTTTGACCCGTGGGCCAGGATCTCCCAGGGAGGACTGCCTCCATAGCTCTACTCCCGAGACCCACATGCCAGACACCCCTCTGTCATCCAGGTACACTTTTTTTTTTCCTTCTCCTCTTCTTTAATTTGTAAATTTCTCTCTTCGCATTACCACATAGAAGCCCCCTTAGCCCTACAGACACCCTACTACCATCAGCGGACCCCTAGGCCTGGAACTCTGAGGGAGGACTGCCCCCCCGTAGCTCCAGTCCCAGAACTCCCAAGCCAGAGACACCTCTGTCTGCCAGGTAACACTCCTTCTCCTCTTCTTTCATTTTTAAATTTCTCTCTTCTCATTACCACATAGGAACGCCTTTCACCCTACAGACACCCCATGCCCATTTTTAACCCCTGAGTCAGGAAGTTTGAGGGAGGACTGCTCCCCTCAGCTCCAGTCCCAGGACTCCCAATCCAGAGACCCCTCTGTCAGCCTGGTACACTTTTTTTTCTCCTTCTACTCTTCTTTCATTTGTAGATTTCTCTCTTCCCATTACCACATAGGAACACCTGTAGCCATACAGACACGCCATTGCCATATGTCAGTCCCTGAGCCAGGAACTCCAAGGGAGGGCTGCCTCCCGTAGCTCAATTCCCAGGACTTCCAAGCGAGACACCCCTCTGTCAGCCAGGTACAGTTTTTTTTTTTTCCTCCTTCTCCTCTTCTCTCAGTTGTAAATTTCTCTCTTCTCATTACCACATAGGAACGCCCTTAGCCCTACAGACACCACACTCCCATCTTTCGACCCCTGGATCAGGAACTTTTAGGGAGGACAGCCTCGCATAGCTCTAGTCCATGGACTCCCAAGTGAGAGACCCATCTGTGAGCCAGGTACACTTTTTTTTTCTCTATCTCCTTTTTTCATTCGTAAATTTCTCTCTTCTCATTACCACTTAGGAATTCCCTTAGTCCTATAGGCACCCCACTCACATCTTTCAAACCCTGGTTCAGGAACTTTGAGGGAGGACTGCCCTGCGTAGCTTCAGTTCCGTGACTCCCAAGCCAGAGACCCCTCTGTCAGCCAGGTACTTTTTTTCTTCTTCTCCCTTTGTCATTTGTAAATTTCTTTCTTCTCATAACCATGCAGGAATTCCCTTAGCCCTACAGACACCCCATTCCCATCTTTCAACCCTTGAGTCTGGGACTTTTAGGGTGCACTGCCCCATGTATCTCCAGTTCCAGGACTCCCAATCCAGAGACCACTCTGTCCACCAGGTACACTTTTTTTTTCTCCTGTTTTTTTCATTTGTAAATGTCTCTATCTCATTACCACATAGGAATGCCCTTAGCTGTACAGACACCCCACTCCCATCTCTGGACCCCTGGTGAAATCACGTGCCGTGTTGTAGCATGGTGCACAACTTTATCTTTATTCTTCTTATTATTTTCTTCCCACTTATTTGGTCCTTACACTCTTTATCTACACCATCCCTTGCAGTTTAAATAGGTCTAGAATTACAATTCTGAAATATTCTAGTATTTTATGACTTTCTGGAATCCTCCCTTTCACTGAACCACCTGCAAAGAAAGAGATACTTTTTTTGTACACCTGAAGAGAATACTTTTCCTTGGATCGCATTGCTAAACTCAATAGAAGAGAGACTTTGGCAGTCTTCATTCCATAGCTAAAAGGAAGCACTCTTGCTTCTATTCAAGAAAACTTTCTCTTAAAAGGTATTTCAAAGGGAACACATCTCCCAATGGTTACACATAGAAGAAGAACCTCAGGTCTGAATAAAGCAGGAAATATGTCTCCATCAAAAGAACACAGTAACTCCCTCCTTTTTTTTTTTTTTTTTTTTTGAAAAACTAGAAAATGTTACCAAAATGTCCAAAATAGAATTTAGAACATTCATGTTGAACAAATACTATGAACTGGAACAGAAAAGAGACAATGAACTACAGGGGATGAGAAAGTCCTTCCATGATATGAAGGAAGAAATGGACACACTAAGAAAGAATAAGATGGAACTATTAGAGGTGAAGTCTGTAATACAAGAAATCAAAAACTCTCTCGGAAGTATTAAAAGTTGACCAAACCATGCTGAAGGAAAGACTGCTAGATATAAAAAGGGAGATAGACAGCAACACACTAATTGTTGGAGACCTCAACACTGCACTATCCCCTCTGGATAGATCATCTAGACAAAAATATGTAAAGAGATAAGAGATCTAAATGATATCATAAATCAAATGGACTTAACAGATATCTATAGAACTTTCCATCCAAAAACCACAAGATACACTTTTTTCTCACCCCCACATGGAAACTTTTCGAAGATTTACCACATCATAGGGCACAAAGCAAGCTTCTACATATTCAAAGGCATAGAAACTATTTCCAGCATCTTCTCTGACCATGATGGAATTAAACTTGAGTTTAATTTCAAGAGAAATACTAAAAAATACTCAAATACATAGAAACTTAATAACCTACTCCTGGATGACTCCACAACTACTGAAGAAATAAAGACTGAAATCAAAAGGTTCATGGAAGCCAATGACAATG